ATGAGAGCATGTTCTAGTACACCCCCAAAACAAAATCAAGACTTTGTAAAAGAGCATAATAGGACCCCTTTAATAAAAATTACTTACATGTCCTAATTGAACTATGGCCTAATCCTGGCTTAGTCTAAGCCCTGTCTGTGAAACCGGGCCTATATATAGTAGTTTAATGTAGCACTGATACTAAAACTCTGTAAACTTGAATTTTTCTCACACAGTAAACTTCATTTTGCTGATATAATGCTGATATAATTTGTTTTTAGCTGTGATTTTTTAAAATCAGTTTTATCTGCTGTGGTAAAGCACATTGGTCAGCTGCTGCTGTTGTTAATGGTGCTATATAAATGATGGACGGGTCACTGGATGGAGCAGCGGGTCAACACTGCGGCTTTGGCGACTCCAGCAACCACCCAAACGAAACCCCATCCTTCTGCAGCTAACAATTTGGACAAAATCGACGCCGCCAACCCGGCTTCCACCACCGGAGCTGCAGGGAACAGGAACGGTAAGAGAACGGGTGCAAATGACGCCCCGACGCCCAGCAAAAACATGGAAAGCAAAGTCAGCATTTTAATATGATCTGGAGAAAGTAGATTCTTCGGTCCTCCTTCGCTCAGCCTCCTCTGCTCCTCTTCTTGGATCCAGATGTCCAGGTCCTTCTGTTCTTTCTCTTCTCTCTTCTTTCTCTCTCTCTCCTCCTCCATCTGTCTTTCCTCCAGCCGTCTCATGTTCTCCAGCTCCGTCTGCAGAGACTCTGTGAACCGTCTCAGTCTTTCTGGGATCGGCTCCACGTTCTGATCTTCTTTCAATATGTCCGTGTTAATCCGATCAATCCTGGCTTGAATGTGTTTCCTTCTTCGTTCAGTTTCTTGCTTCTCTTCATTGACGTCAGAAATGAACGCACGCCAACGAGCATCAGCCATTTTCTTGACCTCCTGCTTTATTTTCCTCGTTCTTTCAGCCGTTTCTGCTTGCATTCTCTCTTCTATTATCTTCTGGGCTTTCTGCATGGCCTCTGTGACTTCATTAGTGAAGTGACGGTTCTTATTCCCAGCCAGCAGTTTATCCACTTTCTGCAGGAGTCGACTCACTTGTTCTCGGTTTGTAGGGTTTGTGTTGTCAAAGGCCATGAAACGCCTCCCAAATCTCTTCACGAGGTCTCGAACTTTTCGATTTTGTTTCAAAATAAACTCTCCAATGGATACTCCTCTGAGTCTGTCGGCGTGTGAGAATATCAGGATGCTGTGACGATCGATATCTAAAAATGTTTTTTTTTATTGGTGTTATGAAGTATTCTAATTTGTTGAGATAGTGAATTGGTGGGTTTTTGTTAAATGTGAGCCAAAATCATCACAATTAAAAGAACCAAAGACTTAAACTACTTCAGTCTGTGTGCATTGAATTTATTTAATACACAAGTTTCACAATTTGAGTTGAATTACTGAAATAAATGAACTTTTCCACGACATTCTAATTTATTGAGATGCACCTGTTTATGTGTATATATATATATATATATATATATATATAGTTACAGTTAGTACATGTTCTAGGAGGGGTTGAAACAGGGTTGAAAGAAATGATCAAAGACATCCATTTAATGCATGATCACATGAGACTTTACTCAATTATTTGTATGTTATGTGATTATCCACTTCATCTTGACACAGTCTGTTTAACTGACAGAGAACCGCTTCAGATGATTCGGTGAGTGAGTGATCCGAAATAACGTGAATCGATTCATCGTTTGGTCAATTCACCGAATGTGTCAGAAAATCTTTATTAGGTTTTTAATTTTACAAATCTGTAAAATCACGGTGAATTGATGGTAATACCACTGCACTTTGATTTATTTCATGGTATTGAATGAGCACTACAATATCCTAGTATTTACATGTCCCTTCAAGGTACTTTAAAGAATATACACTCCTATATAAAGTCACTTTGACCTTTCTTTATTCAGCTTTAATTTGACTTTGCAATGAACACAAGCAAAGCTAGCCTCTGAGAAACAATTTCAGACAACAAACATTTACAGTCCTTTACACTCCTTTGTTTAAATTTAGTTACACATATACGTGTCCCTGGAGCACAAAAGCAGTGTTAAGTCGCTGGGGGATATTTGTAGCAATAGCCAACAATACATTGTATGGGTCACAATTATACATTTCTCTTTTATGCCAAAAATCATTAGGATATTAAGTAAAGATCATGTTCCATGAAGATATTTTGTACATTTCCTACCGCAAATATATCAAAACTTAATTTTTGATTAGTAATATGCATTGCTAAGAACTTCATTTGAACAACTTTAAAGATGATTTTCTCAATATTTAGATTTTTTTGCACCCTCAGATTCCAGATTTTCAAATATTGTCCTATCCTAACAAACCATACATCAATGGAAAGCTTATTTATTCCGCTTTAATTGACACTTAAGACTTAAAGACTCACTTAAAGTAGTTTAAAAAAAAACAAGAACCTGGAAAACAAACTTACTTCATAATATAATCCTAATTATTATATTCAATGTAATATGATAATTAATAATTATTAACTATGTTACATTGCACAATAAAGTCCAGAGACTCCATAATGATATGCCTTCCCTTTATTTACATGAACATTTTAGTGCACACAATTCAGTAAATGAACTAACAGAGGAACAGTGTAACTACAAATCAACTAAACAACCTGCGAGACTGTTACATTTTATGCAATCAGGAGGAAATTATATAAAAGCCACATATCAAGTGTTTTTAATTCATATATCAAGAGTGACGATGCAAAGACACTGTAAACCATATATTAAAGAATTTTAATGTTCTTGTGATGATTTTTTTTAAAAAAATAGACCAGGTGGCGGCTCGCCATTATTAAAAAGAAGCCAGAACGGAGAGATAATTAATTGTGGAGAGTAAGAGAAGGATGGGCTAATAAAAATGGAAGATAATGCAATGAATGCTCCTTAGATGAGCAAAGAGGTAAACGTGTTGTAAGAGACTGAAAATGAGTTTTGAACCGAGTTGTTCAATGTTCAGCTGACATCTCGGATTTGTCGATTCCACCAATAAAGTCTGACTTTGGCATCCAGGAACCTGCAACTCGACTGATCTTTGCAAAGAAGAGAAGATCTTTTTTCCCCACACCACCACAGCTGCAATTAAATGTTAATTAGTGTCCCTGGGAATTAAAAATATCAGATTTTTCTCTTTTTTTCTATCCAGGCAATCACAAGGATTCAGAGGAAAAGATTTTTGTTTTAGATTCCAGAATCCACACGGTTCCAAAAGCACAAATGTGGATTCATTCAGTATAGCGCCACTTTGTGGCACATACAGCAAATGTGATTCAGTCACAATGCTTCATGGAATGCCAGGTTGTTTCGCTCTTCTTTAAAAAAAAATCCTTGAGGAGGAAGTGACTGAGAAAAGACTTTAGACTCAAGACTGCTGATGACGTGAGCACTGGCTGTGACGCTCTTTACTGGATGCAGCATTTTGTCAGTGTTGCCAACTTTACAGATGCAGCTTTCATTGCAACTCCGGCAGCTGTACCAAAAAAACTCCCACTTTCTGCAGCTCCAAAGCCAAGCAAACTGGCCAAAAACTCCATTGACAATCCGGCTTCCACTGCTGGAGCTGCAGGGAACAGAAACAGTAAGAGAGCGGGTGCAAATGACGCCCCAACGCCCAGCAAAAACATGGAAAGCTTAGTCAGCATTTTAATATAGTAATCTGAAGAAAACTGATTGTTCTGCTCTGCTTCGCTCAGCCTCCTCTGCTCCTCTTCTTGGATCCAGATGTCCAGGTCCTTCTGTTCTTTCTTTTTTCTTTCCTTTATCTCCTCCATCTCTCTTTCCTCCAGCCGTCTCATGTTCTCCAGCTCTTTCTGCAGAGATGCTCTGAACCGCTGCAGTCTTGCTGGGATCGGTCGCACGTTCTGCTTTTCCTTCTCGATATCAGTCTCAATCCGATCAATCCTGCGTTGAATGTGTTTCCTTCTTCGTTCAGTTTCTTGCTTCTCTTCATTGACGTCAGAAATGAACGCACGCCAATGAGCATCAGCCATTTTCTTGACCTCCTTCTTGATTATCCTCGTTCTTTCAGCCGTTTCTGCTTGCATTCTCTCTTCTATTATCTTCTGGGCTTTCTGCATGGCCTCTGTGACTTCATTAGTGAAGTGACGGTTCTCATTCACAGCCAGCAGTTTATCCACTTTCTGCAGGAGTCGACTCACTTGTTCTCGGTTTGTAGGGTTTGTGTTGTCAAAGGCCACGAAACGCCTCTCAAATCTCTTCACGAGGTCTTGAACTTTTGGATTTTGTCTCGAAATAAACTCTCCAATGGATTCTCCTCTGAGTCTGTCGGCGTGTGAGAATATCAGGATGCTGTGATGGCTGATGTCCTCACAAAACATCTCCAGAATCATCTCTACGGTGCGCTGCTGCTCCTCTGTATATCGCTCTATCGGTATGATGAGCAGAAATGCACGAGGACCAGGAGAAGACAAGGCCAGGCAATGTATTACCTCCTGTCGCAGTTCTTCAGTTGTCAGATCGGTGTCAAAAAGCCCAGGTGTGTCCACAAGAACGAGATTTCGTCCTTCCACTGTTCCATGTTCTCTCCTGCACTCTTTAGTGACTGAACTCATGCTCACTTCAGCATGAAATCGATCTTCTCCCAGGATGGTGTTTCCTGTCGCACTTTTCCCCGCACCGGTTCTTCCCAGCAGAACCAGACGCAGTTCATCTGGCACTGGATTCACTGCGAGCGGATCGCTGGAACCAGAACCCGATAGAGAGCTCTGAGTGGGTCTCTTCCTCGCTTTTGAGTTTCTGCTCTGAACATCTGCTCCTGAGGAACAAGCGATCATGTCAAATCAAAGAATCAAGCAAAATAACAGTCCTGCATCTTGAAAATAATTTTAATGACAAAAATAAGCATTCAAAATGCATAATTTAACGTACGAGTGGATAAGGCATAAAGTAATGTGTAAAGTAG